AATGTAGCCATATATCTATCCTAACCACTTTGAATACACAGATACAAAATGGACATTCATTGACCTGAAGCAGGTCAGCCACAAACCTGAGTGTTTGCTTTAGCCTCTTGCACTGCATTTCTCACATTCCAGAGGCTCCTGGCCCAAGTCCCAAGACACTGGGGCTTCTCTGCTCTCCAAGGAAGCGCTGTCTGACTCCCAGGGCTCCCACACGGTGTTTCTCAAAAGAGCAGTTCAGGGAAACTTGGAAATCGGGAGGCCCCGCTCCAGCTTACTGAATCATAAATTCTGGGGGTGGGACATGGCGCTCTATAATTTGCTGGGCCCCCAAGGAATGCTAACACACCAAATTTAAAAACAATTGCTTTATTGAGAAGCCAGTGCAAGACACAAAGTGGAGCTTAGCAAAGATGCTTCGCAAAATAAAGATTCTGCTTTACAACCATAAGAAAGCATACTGGCTCAGACCTAAAGGAGCATTTTTTTTCCAGGAATCTTTTCTGTATGAGTAGATGCCAAGACAGATGACAGATGGATGATAGATAGATAGATGATAGAAAAAAAGACAAAGTTTTTTTAAGCCGCGCATGGTGGCACACGCCTGTAATCCCAGCACTCTGGAGGCTGAGACAGGAAGATAATTTCAAGTTTGAGACCAGCCTGGGCTACAAAGTGAGCTTAAGGCCAGCCTGAACCCATGGAGAGACCCTGTTTCAAAAAGACAAAAAAAATTTTTTAAAAATATATTTTTTAAAAAAACAGGAGAGAATAAAGAAAAGATAGAAAAAAGAAACTACCACAAAAAAAGAAAGAAAGAAAGAAAGAAAGAAAGAAAGAAAGAAAGAAAGAAAGAAATCACTAGTCATAAATAGACAAGGGAGACAATAATATAAAATGCAGAGCCCTGAAGGTAGTCACACACACCTGTAATCCCTGCACTCTTGGAGACTTAACACAAAATGATTCCGAGTTCCAGCCCAGCCTAGACAACTTAGCAATTTAAAATAGCACTGTCTCAAAAAAAAAAAAAAGAAAAAAAGAAAAAGAAAAAAGACTGGGGATGTAGTCCAGTGAGTTCAGTGTTAAGTATCTGGGACAGGACAAAAGAGACTGATTCGATCCCCAGTCCTCATGCCGCACCAGCCCTGTCCCTGGGGCGCATTGAGCCGGGCTGAGTCCAGGAGTGGCAGCGCACGCCTGTAATCCCAGCACTGGGGAGGCTGAAAACAGGAGGATCACCACGAGTCAGGTTGGTGTAGTGAGACCCTGTACCACATACAAATGAAAAAAAAAAAAAAAAAGAAAAAAAGATTGAAGCGATGCCCCTCAGCACTGAGCATACATGTTGCTGCTATCCCTAAAAACAGTTTAGCAGAAAAGCCTAAAATTTCTTAAAATGCAAACATAACAAAATAAACCATCTCAGGCTGGGAAGATAGTTCACTAGAAGAAGCACTTGCCTGGCAAGCGCAGGGTCCTGAGTTCAATCATTGGTACTGCCAAAAAAAAAAAAAAAAACATCTAATTTTGCAACTTGCCTTGAATAACTATTGATCAAGCCCGGTCACTCTGACCTTTTCCTTCTCCTTCATGTCATTCTCTGCTCAAATCCAAGCAAGGTCCATGCCCACTGACACTTCAGAAACACTGATCATAAACTCTCACAGTGTCAAGTGCTTATGTCATGTCAGCTTTTCCCTCACACTTTTCCATATAGTGAATGCCCTGCTCATTATGTTACAATAAAAACTTTAAAAACTCATTGACAAACTTAACTTTTTAGTACAGTTTGGGGTTTTCAGAACAATTGAGCAAACAGGACATAAATTTCTGAGCACTCTTCTCACTCCCACAACCCTTCGCCATTCCCTCGATTTTCTTTAACATCTTTAACATTATTTTAAGATGTTAAAATAATGACAATAATGAGCCAATGTTACTTTTGTTAGTGTAGTCCCTAGGGCACATTAAGGTTCATTCTTTATGTTATACTGTTCTATAGATTTTGATAAATGCATGATAACATGTATCCACAATTACATCTTCAGACAGAATAGTTTCACTGCTGTAGGAATAGTATAACTAGGTATGGTGGCGCATGACTACAACACCAGCCCTCAGGAGGCTGAGGCAGGAGGATCAGCAGGAGTTCAAGTCTGTCTGGGCTACATAGTGAGTTGAAGGCCAGCTTCAACTGCATTGTGAAACCCTGTCTGAAAAAGGCAAGAAAGAATGAAAGAAACAAAGAAAAGAAAGAAGAAAAAAAAGGAGGGAGGATAGAAGGAAAGAAGGAAGAAAAAGAAAACCCCTCAGTATTAAATTGACTCAATTCCTTTTTGAAATATTAAAATTACAAAAACAACTGATATTAGTAGGGAAAAATGCTGCACATGCTAAGTTCTCTTAGTCTTAGCATTATGATCACTTTTTTTTTTTTTTTTTCCTGGAACCGGGGATTGAACTCAGGCACTGGCAATTGCCAGGGAAGTGCTTATTCCACAGAGCCATCTCCCCAGCCCTATGATCGCTTTCATAAATGAGGAAATAAGTATATAAATAGCAAAAATCATATCATTTTAGATATATAAAGGATCTTGACCTGAGGAGATAGCTCAGTGGAATGACCACTTGCCTGGCAAATGCAGGGTCCTGAGTTCAATCCCTGGTACCGCAAAAAAAAAAAAAAAAAAAAAAAAAAAAAAAAAAAGAATAGACATAAAGGATCTTAGAAGTCAGCAAATGTCAGATTCTGAAAGGCTCTGTCCTTTAGCTTCTTCTGCCATTAATCTACAATTCTTTTTTTTTTTTTTGGACCCGGGGATTGAACTCAGGCCCTTGTGCTTGCCAGGGAAGCACTTATTCCACTGAGCCATCTCCCCGGCCCCTAATCTACTAATTCTGCGACAGAGAAATAGATGAAGAAGAAAAGAACAAAAAAAAATTTTATTCTAAATAATCCTCCTAAATTCAGTTTAATCAAAACTTTGGATTCCTCCGTACTGCCTCTCTGCGTCAGGAACATGATTACTAGCTGGAGTCTAATTTGAGGGTGTTAATTATGAATGAAAGATGCAATATTCTGAGAACAGAAGGAAAGTCACCAGGGAACGCTTGCAGGATTTAGTCAGGACTATGAAGTTGATAGGTAATTTCTGTATATTATATTTCTTCTCCGAGACCATGGTACAATGGGACAAATTAAACTTCTTGGACATTCTGTCCTCAGATTCATTGCTTTGAAAAATACAAATTAAACAATTCAAATCTAGGTCTGATAGAGGACCTTTTGGTACTGTCTTTCTAGGTCCTTTAGACATGACTTTATGGGCACTTACATTTTTTCTCATACCTTGGCAATACTAGTATGACTCTTCTCTTTGTTTTAAAGAAGATAATAGCAGGATTTATTTTAATTTACTCCTATTTTCTAATGCACATCTGCTTTATATTCCTCGCCCTCTTAAAACTTATCATTAATCTCAGTTTTCATCTAAATCACCAGACCTATCTGGCACAGATGACATGAACAATTATTTGTGGGCTGGGATATAGCTCAGCAGCACAAGCACCTGCCTGGCAAGTACAAGGTCTTGGGTTCAGTTCTCAGTACAACAAACAAACTTATTTGCAAAGTCTTCAGAAAATTGCTATCTTAAATTCACTTTTTGAAAGATCCACTGTAGAACTTAAATTGAATATATTTGCCCAGCCTTTTAAAATGGATCATTGGGCCAACGAGATAATTCAGCAGTCTAAAGCGCCTGCTTAGGCAAGCTCAGGCAAGCATGCAGGGATTGCAGTTCAATCCTTGGCATCACCTGCTGTGCCAGCCCTGCCCCAGGGTGGACTGAGCCAGCCACAAAAAATAAAATAAAATAAAATGGATCATTATATCTTTGCACAATTATCTAGGAAGATACTTTCTAAGGGTCATTACTCTTGCTAAGCTTTTTATTTTCCCTAAATAGCAATAGATCAGTCTTTGAAGCCAGAAGGATCTGGTGAAAATTAAAACCTACATTTCTCTTTCAGTGTGCCAAGATAAATAACCTTTCTAATAGCATGGTTAAGAAAATACTTGTTTTAATTACTAATTTTCAAAATCAGAGGTATTGAAATGAAACTATTTAATCCAAATATTTTATTTCTTTTTTAAAATACGTACTAGGGATTGGATCCAAGACATTTTCACTGAGCTTTATCCCCAGCCTTCTAGAAAATTATTTTTGGGACAGGGTCTCACTATGTTGCTGAACTGCCAGGTTGGGCTTAAACGTGAAATTCTCCTCAGCCTCCTAGCAGCACGGCATTACAGGCATGCATCACCATGTCTAGTTCAAATATATTTCGGGCAGACAAGAATTCTACCACTGAACCACCAGTGCATGAGCTCCAAATATATTTCTGAAAGCTAAATTACCCGAGACCCTGACTGCTAGTCTCATGGTCGGTCGAATAAGCCACAGAAGGTATGTTCTTTGACCGCGAGATTTCTGAGAGCCCCTCTCCCCCACCCTGGGCTATAGGGATGGTGATGAAGAAGCTAGCAGAGCTTGGTAGCTTCTAATCCTCCCAACCCAGAATTTACCCAGAGCTCTCTGCGAGACTCTGGATTCCCAACAAAGTGAACCCTATTTAGTTCAACCTCTGGGCAGCGGCAATCATCTGTGCCTACGCTCCACCCAGAGGGAAGGACTGAGGGGCAGCAGGGTTAGTGATGGCAGCAGCTTCATTCCTGACTGGTGAGATACACAATAAAAAAGAAAAAAAAGACTGTGTATGATTGCACATAATTCACTTTTATGGCTGTTTACAGGTTGGCTAGCTGTAAAGGAATAACTTTAATATCATAATCAATAATAGACTCTTCTTGCTCAAACTGATTCATTACTACCCAGAAACCCCTTAGACAATAACTAGTCGTCACATACCTAGTAATTCTTTTATAAATATTTGTGTTACACTGGCAAATTTTTGAAATGCTTGGTTTGTTTTTACAGGAGCGTGAGGACTGAGTCAGACACTTCAGGTACGGAACGAATTGCACGCCACACTTTGTTGTGATCCCTGGTGTCCGAGTCACCTCTGGAGGAGCTGAAAGAAGGGAGTCCAGCTAGACTCTCTGTGGCACTCCCTCTCTTGGCTCTGCTCCACTCTGAGAGCCTGACAGGGAACAAACTTCCTCACAGCCTGTCCTCAGACTGTCTTCCAAGTGACAGGCATTCATTCCTTAAGGTTTCTTTTTTTTTTTTTTTTTTTTT